CTGGAACATTTTACATTAAATGTGATTGATATCACATTTACATATGATGTAATAATTGGTATGGTGTGTTTAAATCTACCACCTTGCTATTTGTTTTCCATTTGTCCCTTCTGTTTCTTGGTTCTGTTGCTTCTTTCATTGGTATTTTGTTTCTGTTTCTTCTATTGGTTTCTTAGTTATTTTTAATTAATTTTTAGTGTTTCTCCAGGCTAACAATTCACTAACTTATCAGAGTCTATTTAGTGCTTAAATTGTACTACTTCACACTCGACATTTGTCACTTTCTTCTTTATGCTTTCCACTTGTTACTTGACATTTGGCACACCCTTCCTCACACTTCATACTTTACACTTCACAAATCTAATCTTGTTACAATAATACAATTCCACTCATTTACCACCCCGACCTTTGTGTCTTTAATCCATATATTTACTTCTACATATATTATAAAGTCTACCTTATAATGCTATTAGTTTTGTTCTAAACAGTTACCTTTTAAGGAAATTATGAAACAATAAAAATAATCTTTTATATGCACCCTTTTATTTGCCGTTCCTGGAACTTTCCCCCCCCATTTCTGTAGATTTGGGTTTCCATTTGGAATCATTCCTCATCAGCCTGAAAAATGGCCTTTCACATTTTTTGTTTTATTTTACAGGACTGCTGGATCCGAGTTCTCTCCGCTTTCACTCATCTGAAATGAAATATCTCTATTTCACCCAATCTTTAAGGGATATTTTTTCTGGATATAAAATTCTGAGTTGACAGGATTCTCTCCACACCGACCACCATTTTAAAGACATTTTCATTGTCTTCTGGTCTCCACTGTTTCTGATAAGTCAGCAAACATTCCTATAGTTGTTCACTTGTGTCTTTTTTTTCCTCTGCTTGCAAGATTTTCTTTTTAGTTTTCAGAAGTCTGATGATGATGTACCTAGATGAGGCTTTCTTGGTATTTATCTTTCGCTGAGTTCAATTATTTTCTTTGATTAGTAAGTCAATGTTCTTTCATCAAATTTGAGAAAACTTGGCATTATTCAAGTATATATATTTTTCCTACCTAATTCTTTCCTCTCTTTTTAGAACTCCTATAACACATATATTAGAGCAGTTGATATTTTCTATGTTCCTGAAATTCTGTTTATCTTTCCTTTGCCATCTTTCATCTGCTGTGAAGTCCACCTGCTGAACTTCTCACTTAAGGTACAGTACTTTTCTATAATTTCCATTTTGTTTCTTTTAATGGTTTTAATTCTCTGCTGAAATCCCTTGTTTATTCAATCAGACAATTTTTTTCAATTCTATAAACATATATAGTCAGATGGCTGCTTTAAAATCTTTGCTAAATCCAAACATTTGGGCATATCACATTCTGTTTCTATTTATTATTACTTTTTTATTGACTATGGTCCTGTATTTTTGCTTGTCCTGTATATTTGTGTACCTGGTAATTTTTTAAGGGATATTGTTAGTGATACCTTATAGGGACTCTGGATTCTGTTATCTTCTCTCTGAAGAGTGTTGATTCTTATTCTATCAGGTAGTCCAGTCACTGGCAAATCACTTTTAAATTATATGGGTTTGGTTCTATGCTTTGTTATGAAGGATATACAGAAGCCCAAGTTGTTCCTGAGTACCTTTAATTTGGCAAGAACCAACCTCAAAAATATGCCTCCCCTGCAGATCCTGTCAGGACTTGGTTTTAGGCTTTGGTAGGGTGAGTGTAGAGCAGTGGTCTTCAACTGGAGATGATTTCCTCCCCAGGTGACATTTGGCAATATCTGAAGACATTTTGGATTGTCAAAACTGAGGTGGGAGGCACTCCTGGCATCTAGTGAGTAGAGGCCAGGAATAGTGCTGAACACACAGGACAGTTCCACAAAACAAAGAATTATCTGGCCCACAATATCCACAGTGCCAACACTGCAAAACACTGGTACGTCTTTGGACATGGTCCTTGCTCGTGCCTGGTGGGTAGCAAGGTGTAAATGAAGCCCTCCACTCTGCCTAGAATGGACTTCCAATTACTGTCAGCACTACCTGATGTCTAACATGACTAGTAACTTGTGCTCTGATGAACCTCATTATAGTCTTGCTCTGCAGATGTTATTTGACGGGAGGATTTGTAATATTACATTGCGAAGGAATGAGTTGAGCAATAAGAAGAATTTTTACAATGTAGCCATGTCTGCTTTTAGGGCTAAGAATTTTTAGTTCATACCATTTTCTTAATGCAAACCTTTATTTTCTTTTGAGCACTGACCTTAATGAATGTGGAATCTCTGAAAACATGTCATTATATTTTTATTTATGATGTGTATTTGATGTTTATGGATACTTTTGTTGAATATCAAAGTCTTAAATTCAAAAAGTAGCTTAGATGATACAAAAAGTTATAAATACTGGCCATGTGACTAAAAAATTACTTATTTGATTAGGAATTAGCTTGCATATATGGATGTGAATACAGCTGTTGCCATGGAAACCTGACGCTCTACATTATACTTCATTAACATTCATTATATTTTTACTCATACTGTTGTCTTCCCCTACTAAGGGAGTTAATGACAGCACATGGTAATCAAGGAGCCAATGTATAAGTAATGGAATAAAGTAAAAGCCTAAAGACAAAAAACTTACAACTTTCCCAAAGGAGTTCTATGACCAGGTACTATGTATAAGATGCACCACCCTACTTGAGCCAAAAAGTATATTAAGGCCCATCATAGGCATGTTTCATTTCAAGCTCTATAGACCTGCTCTACCCCACTGCCTTCTCACCCATGTCAATCCTTCCTCCCTCCCAACACAAAAATCCAAGCTTCAATTCAGATGCAGCAATGAAGGATATTGCTTTCACCCATGCACTATCTAATCCATGAACTAAATTTGTTCTTCCCTCTTCATTCTCATAATGTAATATATAATTAAAATTAAATTATCCTCACACTAGAAATTATACTTACTTAGTTTGGAATCTACTACCTTACCTAGTAAAACATAACTGTTCTGGAGTATTAGAAAATCAAGACATTCTGATACAGGTAAGTAGAGATAACAAAATAAATAGGCCAATCAATAGTTTGCAATAAACAATGATGGTCATGTCTAAATATTGATTTATTTATTGTATTAATTTGACTTTTATGTCTTTGCCATGGTGCTTTTTAATTTTCTGAGCAGAGTTATAAATTCACTTGACTTTGAGAGTATTCCTTATTGTTGCCTTTTGTTCTTGTTTGTAAACTCAGGGAAGATAAAGTCAATTAGACTTCCATTGAATTTGCTTGCTCAGTACAAAAAAAGTAGTATTCAATTTCTATTTGATGATTCAAATAATGGCTAAGCTTACCAGGGCTAGAAATGTTGATGATAATTTGTATATTAATAATCCATGTTCAATAAAAGGAAGAGAATTAGCTATGTTGAAAATATACATAAATATTAGGATCTTCAGGAAAATTGAAATAAAAAAACATATACATACATAAATATAATAAGAGTAATATTTGAAACCCGGCAAACATATAACAAAACTAGTTTTCAAAGATAAATACTCTTAGTACATATCATTTTCATGGTCTTACCTGGCAGGTAGCTGGCTGCAAAACAGCTACTTTAATAACCAGGATCAATATGTTATTATTTAGTCTGCCAATCATTTTAACTATACATATTTAAATGAATCATGAGCCAGTAATTTTTATAAGAAAAATATGGCATTCTATAGCTAAATATCTTAAATACCTAACTTCTGCTTATTTTACCCTAATTGCCAAATCATGCTTTGATTTTAAATGAAAAAAAATACATCTGTTTTCCCAAAAAGATCACAAAATGAGTACTTTGTTTTAGGTGTTATATATATATATTTATTTTCCAATTACTTTTATTGATCTTACAGGCAGAATAGTATCTTGATCTCTCTATTACATTCAACAACACCAAAAATCTACAACTCTGGTGTCAATAGCAATAATTACTAAAAATTGAGCAAGCAATTTACAACTATCTGCTATTAAGGAAAATGGATTCGAAAGGCATATATAATTGCAATAACAATAAAATAGTATTTATGTGTGTTAAGACATAAATAGTCAACATAACTTTAATATCTCAGGCATTTTTCTAATTTTGATATTTATGCAAATTTTGGAAATTGAGAAGCACTTTGTCTAGTCACTAATGTTCATGAAAAAGAAAATACAAAGAAGTGTCTATTTTAACTAATAGTGCGTGTTCGACTCTTTAGCTTGACATTGAGTGGTACTATTATCCCTTCTAAAGAATTAGAAATAAATTACCTTTGCCACAAGTTTTTTTTTCACAGATGAATATGAAGATGCCCTCATTTCAGAAACTAAGGTCATTAATGTTTATCTTTGCTTGAAACATTTCAGAAGCCTTCTGAACAGAAAGAACACCCAATCTTAGACTACTGGATGAACAGCGACATCTAGTGGTCATTACATCCCTAGACAAAACATTTTAAAAGCATGAACTCAGGAGTATCTATGAAACAAGTGAATTTGCCACCATGTGTCACCTTTAATATTGACACAAGTGTATTTCCAATGATCCTGTATAAGAAAATTATGAGCACTTCCTAGTAGATTCCCTCTGATTCAGTAATAATATATACTGAAGGAAAACCTAACAGTAGGCTTCTAATCTTTATTCTTAACAACCCTTTCACAGATAAATAGCCTGTGTAGACTTTTATAAAAATCCAACTTTGATTTCTTCATGTCTCAGCAATTGTTTCTATCAGAGTGACATAAAAAATTTTAAAACACACTCCTTCACTTGACCAGCCCTAAAAGAAAAAAGAATTTCAAAATACTATGAATTATTGAATAATCACTCCTATGACTTTTTTATGAATACACAGATTGGAATGTCCCAGCAACAAAAAGATTCAGAGATGCCATAAGACGACACACTGATGTGCAAAATTAAGACATTATTATAAAAGCCCCCAGTCTATTAATTATTAATAACTATTAATAACTATTAATTATTGTTGAGTTTACCTTACAGGTGTTATTAATTTTTATTAGCAGGGCACATCTAGTTCAAGATTTTCTAATACAACTGCATCACTAAATGGAATTGTAGAAACAAAATGGAATTACAGAACTGTTTTGCCATCAAAAACTCATTGTTTCCTAGGTATGACTTTTGTTCTCTACTAATGAAAAAGTCAATATATTCTTTGGCTATTTTGCACAGCGAATCTAAGACAGTCCAAGCAAGCTTGGACTTATATAGTTCACTGAAACTTTTATCCATCATCTCTGCACAAGCTACCTGTCAGAAACTGTTCCCACAGCCTTTATGGCCAGATCCAGAGAAACTGCCTTCCTGTCACCATGAAAGACTTTTTCTGAGCATAAACCACATCTTGCAGTTCCATGGTTGCTCAAGGGACATACAGGGATTGTCCCTTCCAGATGAACTGGAGTACCTCCCAAAGTACCTAGACATGCATGAATGAATACAGGTGGACATCACTATCTATCCATCTCCCCTAAATTAATTGTCAAGGGCTAAGACTAGACCTTTCTCTTTAACAAGGCTTTGTTGATGATCACAAACAGATGCAAGGCCTGGACAAGTTTTTGTGTTAGTGCACCAGCCTCCCCAAATGAAGAATGAACATATTTGGTACTCCTGGATCATCAAAATATCCACTACCCAGCCACATCACATGCTAGTGATTAGCTGGGACATTCACCAAAATGCCACATATGTGCATAAAGAAGGCAGTCGAGGCCAAGCCCTTCTTCCCCTGGGTACAATGGTCCACAGGAGTGATATTATCACAGGCATCATCAAAGTGGAGACCATGTAGAATGGTAAAGAACCATCATAATATCACTTAAAACTTTCATGTCAATGCTAGGCAGACTCGTTCCAGTGGGCATCTCATCCCCAAGCACTTAATCTTACTAAAGCAATGAGTGTGATTCATGAGCTTTTAGAATTAACTGTGAGGTCAAATGAGGTGCTATATATGTAAAGTCTGAAGTTCCTTCCAGCCCAGTTGCCCCAGTGATTCTCTATTCCTCTCCTCCCAAGAGTTCTTAGTTGCAGGAGTGTATGTGCAGGCAGTGGCCACAAGCAGTTAAATGTGATGTTTACTAAAGGGACAGGCAGCCATTAGTGACGTTGGAGGCATCTGAAGGTTACTTTCTACTACTCCACCCTATACAGACTCCATTCTTCCATTTTCCTTTCTCCCTTTTCCCTTTGCTTCCCATATTTCTGCCTGAAGCTGGCAGTGGTGGGATGAGGCGACGCTGTGCCCTCTTGCTATCTGCAAGCCCCTGTGTTGTGGAACAAAGAAGACTTCTGAATTCCAGCAGAAAATACTGCTAACTACTCAACTACATAGTCTCGATCACAGGTTATTGTTACTGTCTGCTCATAATAATAACCTTCTCCCAAAAAATAATTCAGAACTTTAACTGGCATTTCGAGTTAAAGGTCTATTCTCTACCTGTCTTCATTTACGTATCTTGACCTTGCACATGTGTTAAGGATGGATTAGTTCAGGTTTGCAAATAAGTAATCTCAGTTACCAGCCCACAAAAAAACATTTTCATAACCTCCTCCTCCCACATAAACTACCAAAAGAGTAAAGTAAATTATGCTTTTTACTAGTTGCCCAGGATAATTCCTCACTGGATCTAGAAAAGTAGATAAGGGTCTAGCTGAATGGCTGGATGAGTGGCCACACCCAGATCCCAACAAAACTAGAAATAAGTTGGTCTGGGTCTAAATGCTAATATCATGCTGCCAAGTCTCTTTCTGAAAAGCATAAAAGCAAAATATCCCACTCCTGCAAGCAAACCAACCACAAGAGTGGTGCCAAGAACTTTTGGGGCCCTTTTCTTGGCCACCCGGAATGCTGTTGGCAGCACTGCAGAGATTAATATATTGTTGACATGTCCTAAAACCTTGTTAAATGTTTTCCTCTTCAAGACACGCTCATAATAGGTTTCCAAGTTTGGTCGCTTTCCATTTCCCCAGTTTCTCCTCGCAAACCCCAAGAACTTCAGTCGATGCAACGTGACAGCGAGTGAGACGTCTGCCAGGGTGAAGGATTCTCCGCAGAGCCAAGGTTGGTGGCCTTCTTCTAATCAGAGAAAGGGACATGGAGAATTAGGGGCAAGCACTGTACAGACAGACTGGTCTCAGTGGCCTCAGCCTTAAAAGCAAGTGTGAGTGTAGCAAAATGTACCCTGAAGCCCATGGTACATTTTCTTGACAACCATACTCAGCAAGTAATTTTATGCTTTAAAAAAAAAAGTGCATGCAAATGTATCCCAAGCTAAGGGAGACTTGCTTGACATCTTCCAGCCACCCAGATCCCTATGTGAAACTGGAGCCATTTGATACTCAAAGCCTATCATTTTGTAAAAGACTCTAAGGAATTGAGGACTTCCAAGAGAGGAGTTGACAGATACTTCCATCTGGTTTAGAAAAACAGGTTTGCTTTAGGAAAATCCATAAAGTTGGGCCTGAATATTACTCAGTGGATACTGCTCTTAGTTACTTACTTAAAGCAGAAGAGGTTTGAGGAAGCAAGTTTTAGGTAACATGATCTTCAATTCTGTCGTCAGTTAGACTAGTGCAGATGGTCTGCATGTATACACATGGCAAGTGGCTTAATCCCAAAGTTAGTTCATAGGTACGATACCTGGACTCTCACCAACCAGACTACAGACACACACATGCTGGGCCTCATTTTAGACTCTAAATTGGAAGTTGTCTCCTTGCCTAAGGAAAAAACTCTTGAGGGAGCATTCAAGCAACTATATAAGTTATTCAACCAAACTAACTACTATAATTACAATCTGTAAAATGGGTTAGGTAAGAATCTCTCAACCACAGTTTAAATTATGTAGAAAACTCCACCACCAGTCATATACCACATAGATGCAGACTGAGTTACAATTAGACACTTGGGTTTTTCTGAGTTCAATATCATTGCTGCTATCATCATTAAAACAGCCCATGAATAACAACAATGAAAAGCAGATTACAGAAGGTTTTGGGTGAGATCTAAGAATGTTCCCATAAATACTGGTGTTAAAAAGAGAAAAAGAATACAAATGAGAACCTACCGGGGGTTTCTTCATTTCTTCTTTGCAATTCAGTTTCAACCTGATCCAAGACCTTCTCCAACTCATCAAGAATTTTCTTCAAATATTTGACATTGTCATGATCAAGCAGCTTTGACTAATTAATGACAAAAAAAAAAACCTAAATAGGTTATTTATATCTGTAAAAAAAAAAATTCTAGATACAGGAAAGTAGATATAAACTCTTATAGAGTTGGGGGCTATTTTAGACAATGGGAAGAAACAGAATAACTTTGTTAAAGCAAGAGCAAAGTGGGGGGGAAAGAGCCCAGCTGTGGAAATTCCCCAGGAGCAGACACTCCTCGCTGGCAGCCTCTGTGAGCCAGATGACCAGATAGGACAAAGAGTGGGAGGGACACAAAGGGCCATCTGTCATGCCCAACTTAAGAACGGATGTTCAGCAGCCCGAAATGAGTAACTGAAAGGTGGGGGGCGGGGAGGATGAGGAAGGAGTCTGAGCACAGTGAGTTAAAGAACAAGTGGACAGCCAGGATAGTGACCGAGTGTGCAGGCGTTTCTTCCAGGAGTTTGTTTAGCTAAGGTAGCATAAAGGAAGATAAGAATTTGGAAGAGTGTTGGGAGTATTAGTGTTTGCTCTATCTGTTTTTTCTAAGGCAGAGTCTTGTTCTGTCGTCCCACCCCGGTATGGTGCAGTGGTGTCATCATAGCCCATGGCAACCTCAAAATCCTGGGCTCAAGTGATCCTCTTGCCTCAGCCTCCTGAGTAGCTGGGACTATAGGTACACACCATCACATCTGGCTGATTTTTTCTATTTTTGGTAGAGATGGAGTCTCACTCTTGCTCAGGTTGGTATCAAACTCCTGACCTCATGTGATCATCCCACCTTGAGCTCCTAGAGTGCTAGGATTACAGGCGTGAGCCACTGCTCCCAGCCTGTTTGCTACATTTTTAACATAGGAGAAGTTTGTATGCATTCTTGGGCTCTGTGGAAGGATCAACAAAGAAAGGCTGACTATAACTGGTATTCTTCAGGGGGCAGAGCAAGTCAACGCCACACGTGGAGGGCTTAGGTCTAGCAAGGCCTGAAAGTTGTGGATACCTGCAATGACAGATTCCTACAACGTTATATTACTTGCTATTATATTTTATAACTTTCTCTGTAAGCAGCATGATCAATATCTGCTTTTTAAGCACTTGTCATCAAGTTTGAATATCGAATCTAATAAAGAAAGTTCCCTCTAAAAGCAGAACATAAGCCAAAGGTAACATGTGCTGGCGACTTGCAATAGCCAACAGAAGATCTTCTCTGAATAGTGGTACTTCACAAAAAGGAGAACATTTAGCATGAGCATTGTGTGTCAACTAAGGACAACTGGGCCACTTACTTTAAGTCGTTTCTGTTTTGCAATGTATGCCTCTTGTAAATCCGGGTTTTCTTCAGCAAGTTTCTTCAGTTCAGATTCTGTGTTACCAATTTGGCCTGATGATGAAAACAATTTTGAAATAGAAAATTATTTTCTCCCTTCTACACCAGAAAGTAGGAGAAGTGGGGAAACTTGATGATACGAGCATGAGCTCTGGGCTCATGCCCTGCCTCTGCCTAGGACTTCGCCTATCTATGTCTCAGTTTCCTCATCTTATAGTTCAAAGGGAACTACAAGAGTATCTTGTATCACGCAGGGTGAGGATTAAATGAGAAGCTCTGTGGGGGCTTTCAAGTTTTCTATAATGAACTCCCATATGAAAGGAAGGAAAAAGCCTTAGTTTTTAAAAAAACTGCCTACAGCTGATAGAGGTGCAGTCAGAACACTTGTTTCAAATCATATAATGAATATTAATGAAGAGGAGGAGGATGGGGAAGAGCAGGGCAAGAGGGAGGCAGAGAAGAGAAGGGAGAGGAGGAGGGAGAGGAGAAAAAGAAAGGGGTGAAAAGGAAGGACACCATCTGGGCCAGCTCCTCACACAATGAAACAACGATTAAGGACCAGAAACGTGAACTCAGTTGCCCATCACCCAGGCAGATACCATCTTTTCAGATTTCTGGTTCTTGTGTCCATAGTGACATGTTACATTCTTTAGTTTTCAATAAGCCACTCCTCTGAGTTTTACCCTAGCTTGGCCCTCAACGCCAAGAGCTGACAAACCGGGTCCTATAGACAATAAATGTCCAGCTGAGCAGCAAATGCACAGATTTATCTGACTGGTTCACGGATTGATCTATAACATGCAGGTCCATGCAGCAAACTCAGCATCTCTATTCCCAATCTTCTCCTAATGACCGTGAGACAAACCAGGTCTCGAAAATGAATAAAAAGAAACTTCAGACAAAATTCCAGGTCTTTAAGACTTTTACATACTGCGGATCCTTGTGGTTGCATAGGCTGGGATCATGGAATCCACAGTTAGCTCAGGATGTAAAATGCAGCCATGAGTATAGGCATCCATTGGCAAGGAGTCAAGCAGCTCTCGGTAATGTTGTACCCGTGGGTAATACATGCTTCCTTTATCAGGCATTAACCTGGGTGTTCTTTCTAAAATGCACAAAAAAAGTAATTGAAGAAAAAGTTACAAATGACTTGTTATATCCAAGAGTACAATCAAAAACATTAAGCCGTCACCATTAACATTTTCAACATATCATGACGTTCACAAGATGATGTCTCCCCAGCCCAGACATTCAAAATTTGCAATGGCCTGACATATAAGACCAGATCCCAAACCATGATCACACTGGTATTCTCTCACTTCTCCACCTTGCAAACTGCTACTCAATCCTCAAGGTCCAGTTATTTAAGCCACTGCTTTCATGAAGCAGTGACCTGACCTCCTACAACTGCCAACATCTGACTGGCTCAGGCATGCCTTCCTCTATGTACCCATAGCACATTGTGCATACTCTATAGCCCTACCACACTGTAATTCATTGTTTGTATCTTTTTGCCCCATGAACATCTTTAGCGAAAGGAACCTAGGATCTAGGGTCTATCACAGTTCCTCACACACTTTAAGCCCTCAATAACGGTTGGTTAAGTGAATAAAGTGACTTATCATGGGAAGATAATCATGGGCCATTCTTTTCTAGATGCCAACCACCACCAAGAGTAATCTTGCTGATACCAAGTGAATGTGAAATGGCAATCTGTATAGAATGGGAAAGGCCTTTTTTCAAATACCACATTGCACTTTCCCCAGTAATTTCTAAAAATTTATCTCCAGAAAGTGGATTCTATAAAAATGCTCACTTGCTAGTTAAAATCCCCAGTGCCTATGTTATATATAATGTTATATAATGCCTGACAAACAGTAGGCATTTAATAAATTATAACTAATGATATATTCCCAAATTTCTAGTTATTATAGAATACTTGAGGTAGAGAAGCACTGCAGTAGTTAATGAGTACACTGAGCTGTAGAGGCTGACAAGTTCTCCCAAGATCCCACAGATAATTAGAGGCAGAACATGAACTAAAAGCATTTGATTCCTAATGTAATGCTCTGTTTTATTACACCATCATAGCATCTTCAAAGGGTTTACATTTCAGAGGCCATCCAAAAACAATAAAAGTGAAAGATGCAACCCAAAGGTCAGGGCTATGTTCTTTCAGGTTCATTTCCTACCATTGGCTCTCAAACTGCCCCTGAAAAATGCCAGCTAGCTTATTCCAACCAGTGAATAAAACAGCATTAACTTTCTTTATTCATTTATCTCTTAGTTTGAGTCACTTAATTTAGAATCCTCTTGACCATCTCTTGTTCATAAATGTTGACAATCCAGAGTTGGATGCCATCAACAGGACATTTCAGGCAAGATCTCATAATGCCAGACCAAGCAGAAGAAGCTTTTAAGCTAGCAAGCTATTTCTGACTCCCTAAGAAGAAAGAAGATAGATTACTTCTCAAACCAGTGGGCAAATGTCTAATTCCCTGCGTGAGAGTCCAATTCTGAAGGCTGCATTAGAATAACCAAGAATGAAGCCTCAGCTACATATTGTTTCCCAACAAAATTTACTCAACTAAACCACACTTTATTGCTGTCCCCGTGTGGAAAGGAGGCAGGTAAGTCACCTATGCGTGTGGAAGGTAGCCTCTAAACAACACATATCTAACAACACCTCAGATCCACTTTTCAGGACCTCAATATATCACCAGGCCCCCAACCAATGCAAGGTAAACAATAGACTGGAAACCTTGAATTCTAAGAAGCTCTTAACCTTTCATGTGCCACTGACCTCTTCTCAAAATTGCAATGTTCCTAAATGCATAAAATGTAAGACATTGTGTTGCAAAGGAAATTGATATTAAAATATAGTTATCAAAATAATTTTAAATTATAAAATAATAATATGCATGCATCTTTATTAACATATTATCAAGATCTAACAGCAGGTCTAATAACTACCATAATTTCAAAGTACTAAGATATCTGTAATAACTTAATATGCTATGAACATATCTGTGATCTCTATTGGTATCAAAATCACAGTCACTCCTAATATTGCTATAGATTATGCCTACATTGGTAATGGAAGGAAATGATAAATTTATGTTAGAAATTAGTGAACATAAAGATGCAACTATTCCCCATCAAAGATCTCAAATTTCCTGAATTCTATTCATAAACACCTAGGGGGCAACAGTTCTCAAAGTGTGATCTGAGGATCCCTGGGCTTCCCCAAGATACTTTAAGAGGATTCACAAAGTGAAAGCTATTTTTATAGCAATATTGAGATGTGAATTGCTTTTTCACTCTTATTCTTTCTCAAGTGTACAGCAGAACTTTCCAGAGGCTACAGGAAATATGATAACTTCTTCACTCTGCCAGCTAATGAGATTTGTGCTTTAGTATTCTGATGTTTTAAATTTTTCTCAGGTTTAAATTCTAAATGGTAAATATTGACAGCTATAACCCACATAAACAAAAGCTCTTGGCATCCTCAACAATTTTTAACACAAAGGGGTCCTGAGACCAAAAATTTCAAGAACCACTGCTTTAGGGATTTAAGAACCTCAGGTTAATAATGATAACTGGTACATTTTCAAATGTTTCCTAAATGGTCAAATTTATGGCTACTGAATCTGGCTGCTTCCTGGTGCCAGGTTCTGGGGCTTTTCTCCATGAGAGCAAGAAAAACAATGTCTAACTGCTTTCTGGAGAAGTTCCATCTGGCCAAGCCCGAATTCTTCAAAGGAGGACAAATGTTTAAATTCATGAAAATAATTTTCTCCTATTCAGTGTGCCATTGCTATCTAACTATTTCTTGAAGTACTTTATTATCTAGAGCACAAGACACCCACTGAACCCAGGTTCTCTTCCTATCATACTTTCTCTCCTTGCACATGTCAAAGATACACTGTCCAGTGTCACATAGGCACTGCGTTGCCACCCTCCTCCTCACACCAGAGCACAACAGTGTCCATTGTCCCTGGAAATAGAGTTTTTCAAATGACAATTGGGAATTTCCTTTGAATTATACATGAAATCTTCCCACTCAATCCCATTCTATTTTATGTTCTAATCCTACCATACAGCATCTTTATCATAATACTCTAAATAAGAATCTTTTCTCAGCAATCTACCTCCATCAGGGCTGGGGATGCAATATAAGATATGCAAGGGAGGGACAGGGAATCGTGGAATTTAAGAAGCAGGCAATGAAAGGAGGTACCACCATTGGAGAATGGAATTACAATAGTGGATGCCAGGCTTAGTGACTAAGCTATTAATAGGAGAATAAATAAAAATAAATAAGTTGGCATAAGACTTGACTTCCTAGAAGAACTGAGTAGGGGACAAAGAAGGTCTTATATTACATATAAATTTAGGAAGCAAATTAGAAACAGGCAGACAGGCATAATTCAGAAAGAGGTGATAAACAATTGTAGGAGGAAAAAAGAAAACAATTGCAGGAGAAACCAAAATAACCAAAAAAAAAAAAAAAATCAGAAACAATAAAAGCATTCTTCAGCCAGTTAATGGAGACAAACAGTCCCATACAATCTCAAGTTCCTGTATTGCTGAGTAAAATAACAACAGCTCTAAGCCATTTAAAAAAATACTGCATTTGGTTTTACCAAGAGCAAAAAGTTAAAAAAAAAAATTAGGGGCTCAAAGGCATAAACTTCCATTATTATACTAAATTCACTAATCTGGTTTCTCATATTTCCTAGTAACGGCAGACAAGGGAGGCATTATTATGTCTTGTTTTCAAAAAAGACTCCCCCAGGTCTATTTGAATAACTTTCAAGTCTCCCTTATTAGCTCAATGAAAACAGATTAGACTCTATTGCTCGCTGTAGCCCTTTGCTATTTAATTTACTTAGATTGCATAGTGATGGCATAGTATTGAGACAATATGCACAATTTAGCTAAACAATATTGTACCCTTCAACTAGTTACACACTAGTCTACTAAAAAAAAATAATAAAGGTAAACAATTAAGACCTGAAGCAAAAGATATGGTTACACAATGACTGCAATTTAAAGCTGTCATAACTTTGGAACTAGAAAGATCAAATCTAAATACAGATGACGGGGAAAAAAGCCTGGTATCAAATTATAAAAGTTCACTGTATGCATTCAGGATTTTCTGAGACACAAATTTGTGCATTATTTAAATAAATGTTATACATTATACATTAAATGTTTGACTGCTTCTAATTGGTATTATATTTGAGACTTTTAACAAAAACATTGCAATGAGGGGGGCAAAAACTCCTTTATTGACAGTTTGTTCCAATTGTTGTATACACATAATATAGAACTAGGGCCTCTGCATTTTAATGCCCCCACTTATCTGCTGAAACTGTACAAATCACAAAGAATTTTTTCAATGTTACTTTTTAAAGCAATTTTTTTTTTTTTGAGACAGTCTCCCTCTGTTGCCTAGGCTAGAGTGCCATGGCAGCATAGCTCACAGCAACCTCAAACTCCTGGACTCAAGCAATCCTCCTGCCTCAGCCTCGCGAGTAGCTGAGACTACAGGCACACACCACCATGCCTGGCTAATTGTTTCTATTTTTAGTAGAGACGGGGTCTCACTCTTACTCAGACTGGTCTCAAACTCCTGATCCTCCCGCCTTGGCCTTCCAGATTGCTAGGATTACAGGTATGAGTCACCGCACCTGGCCAAAGCAACTTTTGTTGGCACCATCATTAGTTTTAAAGACTCATTTCTTTTCCTTACCATATACCATATGGTATATTTTCTCCATACTTTATGCTAATTTGAAATTTCAGTAGTTGTGCTAAAAGGCATATAAAATTATTCAACTATATACACAGCCTTTTATTGATGAACATAAAGTTATTCTATAAATCTTAACACTAATTGGGAATTACTTAAAAACATAAGTATTTTTAATGTAATAGTGACTTCAGAATTAATGTTCTGTTTAAAATGGTATTTTTAAATTTCAATATATATTGACAAAATTGTATCTATAAAATAAATTTCTATGTCCTAATCAGACTTATATGTGATTTTAACAGCATACCAGAATAATTTATTCCCACACCAAATTCTATTTCCTAAAAATACTTTAAATGATATACATAGACACAAGACATGGACATGGTTTTTTAGAGAACTGTTATATATTAAATTACCAAAATTCATTATTCCCCATATGTCATCCTTGATTGCAGGTTACCACCGAGTTATTTGGTAGTAACAAATAAACGTTCCAGTATTTTATAGTTATTTCATACCATATTTTTTATTATCTAGTAATCAAATTAAACTTTATTGAAAGAGTTTATGAATAGCACAAGAAATAGCTAAATTTTTTGGCATTTAAAATTTGTAAATATAGCTCCCCTCGCAGACAACCAGAATAAATAGTCAAGCTCCTTTTTTGAAAGGGGGGAAGGAAAGAAGAAATAGCTAAATTTTAAAATCTTCATTAATGTGTGTATTCAGTTTGTCATATCCACTGTTACTGAGTTTGCCTAGTTTGCTTACGATCATATCTCATCTGGCCTAATCAATTGCTTGCTATAATATAACTATTCTTTATTACATGCCCAGATTGAAAAAGTTATCATATATATAAGGGTTTATAAAACTGAATAGTAATAATAAAACTGAATAATAATAATTCAGTTTATAAAACTAAATAGTAACAATAGCATATGCATACATTAAGGACATAGAAATATCAAATGCATAGAAAGAAATTGTCTTTGTAAATTATCAAGTTTCTAATGCTTTGGGATCTTTGAAATATCTTTGAAGTATCCCAGGACCTAATTAATACCCAATAAATGGTTTACTGGAAGAATGAACAAAGAAATAGCTCTTGGCCAGCCCTTACTTGGGTAGCTGAGTACTTTTAAATTCCTGCTTTGACCCAAATTTTGCCCTCAGGAGTATCATTCATGTCTACACCATTCTTCCACATGACTGCTTTCCAAAAAAAACATCAAACATAGCCATTATCCAACTTATATATTCACTATTTCAGGCTAAGACTTGAAAAGGATTCCCTTGGCTTTCAAATTTCTCCCCCAAAACTACCAATTATTTAATGGATTATCCCAAAAGTATAAGGATGTAAATATGTAAATACTGATATACAAAAAGCTTGAGAAAGGTTAAGGAATGTTTCCAGGTCAGTGAGCCATCATTTTTAGTATTATCCCCAGCTGATAAACAACCGGGGTAGATAACAGAGATACCAGTTCACTACATTCTGTTCTTTAGACAAATGGCTACACTTAATTAATTAAAGTCTCCTATCATGATCATGAGCAACTATATACCTCATGAAATCCATCCACTTATTATCATTCTAACTTGCCAATATCCCTCAAAGTTCCATCCACAACTGGACAACATGCCAAATGTTCCAACCAGCTCACAACGCAGAGGGTTACGACTCACCATGATCTAGACAGAACCTATAATTTTCCAACAACCTGACATCACACTAGCCTCTTGTTTTATAATTGGCAATGTACTATCGATCCCCATCCTTCCTTAATGCAGCTGATTTTTAAGAACAAAATTCCCATATTGCATTTAGTCTTGTTAAACTTTATCTTCATTATTTTTCCATTTTATATGCTAGTCATCATCTTAACTATCCCAGTTTTCTGTCATTCACAAATATAACAGTGCTTCTTTTACATCTCTATTCAAGTCATTTATACAATAGTTAGGCTCAAGTCAGAGAACAAAAGCCTACAGAAGCCTACAAAATATCCCTGTCCAGGCCGACATCTACTTCAATAATTCGTTCATTTTAATCATTCAAATTATTTATTAAGTACTTATTAAGGACCATTTGCTGCACAAGGCATTGGGGATACAGTTTTTAATAAGATAGATGCTTTCTCTGACCTCATGATACTTACAGTGCTGTACAAGTTGATTCAAATATTTAAAATAAAGTACGATAAAAATTGTTATAAGTAAAGCAAGAAAGAGTCTATACCTGGAGGGGCAACTTGGTATAAGAAATCTGTAAATGAATATTCTTCACTATGGTAGCTTATTCACTGCAAATGTGCATTCCTATCATCTAGCCATATTTGCTCCTTTATTCTACAAGGTATGTTATGTGAAGTAATTTCAAATGCTCTACTTAAATCAAGATAAACTATATCTAGAACCATGCCTGGCACATAAAGCACATTTTTTAAAAAAGTGTTAATGACATTCTCCAGTAATGTAAAACTTGAGCTGGTTCCCTTTACTGAGCTATTCAAAAATTTAAAATACATATTTTAAAAAACTTTTGACAATCTATTCTAGAATTTTGCCAGATTTAAAATCAGTAATTTATAGTAGAGCTTAAAGCTTAAAGACAAATTTATAGCAGTATCCTCACACTTTAATGGACATATGAATCACCTGGGGCTTTTGTTAAAACACAGATTCTAACTCAATAGATTTGCAGTGAGGTCTAAGACTGCATTTCTCACAAACTCCCAGGTGATGCCAGTGCTTCTGGAGGATGGAGCACACTTTAAATAGCAAGGATTGGTTGAATTCACCTTCCCGTCTTTGACGCTGAGATGACAATTAGCTATCTCTTGTCTGGCTCTTTCCCTACTCCCTCAAGAGTTCTTAAAGATTAAAATAAACTAGCTTAATTATAAATATGATAACTTTTTTATTTCAATACTCTGAACTAGCATTGATTTATATAATTATTATTCTCTTGCTGTCTTCATATCTATCATAAATTTTAGGATCCTTTTTCTTAATCTTTTTTAATCCTTTCCTAGTGAATGACTACTCTCCTGAAATAAGAGTTGGTTGGACTTGTTTTATCTATGCAACTAATACATTCTGCCTCACCTAGTCCAAAAGGTAGAGAAATCTAGTAACCAAAGATAACTCAGCACTTCATGGCATCATCAGACTAAGAGCTAGGACTCTTGATTGCTTACTTATCATAAAAGCTCAACCAAAATTAGAATCCGTATTTTCATATTTCCATCCTATCATTTATTCTGCAGTGCCTTCACCTCTATTAAATAAATAATAATCAAAAGAACAACTTAGTATTTCCCTTGTCTGGTTATTTGAACATAACTTAGAAGGATGCAATGTATTTGAATTTTGTGATTATTATATAGTAAAAGCAAAATGGAAAGCTTAAAAAAAATTTTAAAGCCTAATATCAGTAACATTACTATATTATAAAGAATCATATTTTATATCACTGGATTTCTTAGAAGAAAAACAGTATAAGGAGAAAGTAGAAAGGAGCAGGAGGCAGAGAAGGAAGGGAAGGGAAATGATGATATTAGAAGTTGTACTTCAGGTGGGGGGAGGGGATGGGTATATACATACATAATGAGTGTGAAGTGCACCAACTGGGGGATAGACACGCTTGAAGCTTTGACTTGAGGGAAGCAGGGCAATATACGTAACCTTAACATTTGTACCCCCATAATATGCTGAAAAAAATAAATTAAAAAAAGAAGCTGTACTTCAACATGCTACCAACGATTTAAATGATTTTCCATTTATCATACCTTTCTAAAGTTTTGATCATTTAAAATAGAATACTTACACAATTGTTATTTTTTGCTTATATTATTACTTATAATCACTTCTTCCAAAAAATATACATTACTATTAACAGACTTATCCATTTCCAAAAAGCTCAAGATTGAGAAAATTTGTTTTAAATCACAATTTAAAAATTGTTTTAAATTAGTCACCATTTTTGGTACAGTCTCTACCATAAAAACTTACAAGGGGTAGTAAGTAATGGTGAAGAGAAAGTAGTTCATCAAACTCTGGTTTTGACCAAGGCTATCATTAATCAAAATCTCCAATCACAGTCCTAGGCAGCTAACACTGGGATTAATAATAGGGGTAGCCTATTCTTAATCTAATTCCCTGGGCTTCCCCCCAGTCACCCCATTTAGATCTCATACCCATTTTCCTTGTAAGTACATCACACATTTTTTGTTCCTAGAATTTCCTTTCTCAGCTTCCTGTAATTTGGGGCTACATTCTCGTTTCATTCAACCCAATAAACATGAACATAACTGGTGGTAGATGAAAAAATAACTGGAACTCATGCAGCTTCTTTTTAGAAGAGCACTTAGCTAAAACCTTGGAGCCCCATGTTCTGCTTTCAGCTCTGCTGAAGATGATCAGCTGTGTAATCTTGGGCAAAGCATTGAAGCTACAGTTCACCTCAAAGAATTGTTATTAGTAACAAGCAAGACAATGTGTAAGTGGCAAAGACTACGGGAGTCATGTGGTGTAGTATGAAGGCTTTGGAGACAAAAAGGTTACCATAAAATAGTTATATTACTTTGAGCAACCCTCTGTTTCTCTTTCCTCACATACAAAATGGGAATAACTAGTCTACAATGCCTAGTTCAGTTCTTTTGAAGACTGAATAGAAATTATAAAACATCTAGCACATAACAAGCTGTCCATAAATTATTATTTAAAAGAACTAAACAAATTTAAGCCTTATAATTCCTTAGTAAACATATGCAATTCAAACTATTCAGAAGTAACTGGGGCAAAGAACTCAAAGTATACTAACCTTCTCTTCTCCCTTGTCTACAATTTATTCCTTTTTTCTTCTTATTGTTGCTAAGATGAAACCATTTGGTAGATTAGATGAAATTGATTGTCATGGTATACATTTAGAACCAATATTATGAATTTTACTTTAAGGCTAATAAATAGATCACCAATACAAATGACACACTTGCAGGGTTTTTGCAAGTGAATTTAAAAGGCAAGTTTCAACATCAACATTTGTACTTTACATAAAATTCTTTTAATGGAGTTATGCTGGCTTATATAAAATTTGTTATTGACTTATTTTATATTTGTGTGCTTATGGAAATGGAAAAAGTATTCAATCACTAAGTCACCATCATGAAACAAGAGAGAGAGAGAGAGAAAGAAAATGAGAGAGTGAGAGAGAGAAAGAAAGTGAGAGAGAGACAGTGAAAAAGTGATAGAGAAAGGGAACAAATATTTGTGTTGAAAGTAAGTCCAAAAAATCACAAATAGCCTTAACATTACCATCCAGGAAAGTCTGTTCAAGATAATCAATGATCTGAGTTGCCTCACAAATTATGTTTTCCCCGTGGATAAGGACAGGCACTTCTCCAGTTGAGTTCAAACGCATAAACCAAGGCTCATTGTGTTCACTCAGGGGCAGACTTACATCATGTTCCTCGCACTTCAATGCCTTTTCAGCAATTACCAAGCGCACCTGGAAGAGTTCACACCGGTTACTACAACACAGGTAAGCACTCAATTAAATGACTTCCCTGGATATGCTAAGCAGCCTTTCTGGTCTTCCGTGATTATTAACATTATCAACGGCCTTTCTAATGATTCCTATTCCTGGAATTAACAAGTGGGATATACTCTCGCGTCTCATCCTTACAAATGAGAGAAGAAAACAAAATAAGTCCATGAAAATGATTCTGGCCATATTCATTATATAGTCGCCCTCCTCCTCACCACTGTTCTTTGTATCCTAAACCTCATTATGCGTCCTCCCCAGATAAGAACCCGAAACACAGGTATGCCAGGCCTTGCTGAAGAAGAGTGAATCCGAGAAAGCATAAAAGAAGTGACTGCAGATTATGCGGGGACACGAACTGCGCTTTCTTCTGCCTCGCTCCTCAAGGCCCAGAGGGCAAGACCCCCAGGCCAATTGCTGAAAGTGATGCTTTTTCGGTCGCATTTCATGAGTGACAGTGCCTGAGTCACAGCCTTCCAGCTCACCCGGATTCCCCCCGCTCCCCACCGAGGACCAACCCTCCCCTGGAGGGAGCGCCCGCTTGGGTCAGGACTCCCGAGCTGGTCTCTGGGTGGGCGGGCGTCCCGGGCGGGACCCGACAGGGAGCTGTCCCGGTGCTGAAACCCGACCCGCGCCGTCCTCCGCAGCCGAGGCCTCTACCTTTTGAGAGCTGAAGGAATGCGTCCAGTGGTACAGAATGAGCTTAACCTCCGCCTCGGGCTTGCCCTCTGCCATCAAGGGCGCGCCCCCTCTCTGCTCGTCCTGCCTCCGAGCCATTTCGGGGTGCGTGAGTAAAGGAAGGGCTTTCTCCCACACACACACACACTGCCCGGCAAAGCGTCTTCAGGTTTTCCACGAAGCCTCCCGGGGCCGGGAAGACGCACAGGCCGCCGGGAAGTGTAGTTCCGAAGGCGAGAAAGCTGCGCGGCGGCCGGGTGCGCAAAGACGCGCGAGTCTGCGCGCCGGAAGCCCCAGAGCGCGGGGGTCACGTGGGAGATGCAATTGCACTTTGTTTTAGGGGGGGAATCTAAAATGTGAGTCCCTGGTTATTAAAGCGAGGAAGGAAAAACGGCGACAGCAAATTTCTCATCGGTTTGGAAGTTACGAAGGGATAAAAGCAGCCATTTCCCAAGATACTTAGGTTTCCTCTTGGAGCGCCTGTTCCTTTGGTGGAAGGGAAGTTCCGGTCAATAAAGCAACAGGAAAAGGATCTATGAGTTTTCATTAGAAGATGCTTCTATGGAGTCATGCAAAAAAAAAAAAAAAAAAACTCATAAACTAATAAACAATGGCTCTATAAAATAGCCTAGTTATTAAACACAAAAATTTTAGATCAGTACTACCTGGGTTCATGACCTGGTTTTTCTATTTTCTCCATTTTTGGAGTGGAAATAACAATTTTATTTCCCTCATAAAGTTTATGTGCAACTTGAATAAGTAATAAAATATTAAACACTCAAAACAGCCAGCATGATGTAGGCACTCAATATTATTCCCAGGTTCAGTTGCCTTATAAACATTCTCTTTATAGCCATCATCAGAATCATAATCTTATATGAGTCTAGTTATTATTGTACATTTCTTAAAATTTGGCATCATAGTAAATTGACAAAAATTTCTCTTTCGGTAAATCCATATAAATATGACCATGAGATAAGTGCCTATATAATTTATTCAACAAATATTTATGGAACACTCACAATGTTCCAGGCATTGTGCTGGGTCCTGGGAATACAAAGACATGTTAAGACCTGATACCTACCACCAGAGATATAAGTCTGGTGTCAGAGATGAGAAAGCAAATAGACAACCACAATAAAGATGAGAACTGTCTTAGGATGAACACAGGGTACCATAAGAAAGGGGGGCAGGCTGCCAATCCAGTCAGACAAGGACCCCGGGAAGAGATGGAACTTTCTGAGGTTTTTCCTCCCCCTTGCAGCACTTCATCTGTTGTTCTTTATAATTGTTTTATAATTTTTAAAGATTTTATGTCTTTTTATATCCTTCAGTTAATGCAAATGCTACAGCAAAAGTGAACCCTTCGCCAAATGTGCTCTATCGGTTCACTCTTCATAGTAGAAGGGGAAAGAGTAAACCTTTGAATGAGACAGAGTAGGGTTTAAATTCTAGCTCTACCCCTAACTTGACCTCTCTTAAGCTTTTACTTCATCATGTGTAAAATATGGATGTGTAAAGATATATGCCAACCCAGAATGCTGTAGGAATTCAATAAGAGAATGTATATAAGCACATACAGGACACTGCCTGGAATGTAGCCATTGTTAAAGACATATGTGTAAAAGCCCCTCCACTGAAATTAAGAGGCCTTGAATGTTTTACAACAACCTATATAATCCTCTTTTCTTATCCCTCTTCAGCATAAATTCTTTTTTAATTCTCCAGCTCCAGATTTCCATAGATACTATATAGTCTCTTTTTCCTTAATTTACTAAATCACCTCAATATTTGAATAAACTCAATATTAAAGGTAGGCCATCTGTCTATAGCAGCTGAAAAGGTCTTGACAATAAAGCCCTGGTACATTAAACACCGAATGCTTTATCCATCACATCTTACCAGCAGCAAAGCCATATAGTAAATATTACATGAACTGATCACTGTGTGGGTGTTTAATACCAAGCATTCATATATGTCATTGGGAATGTAAACATACAGAACTTCTGAAGGCAAATTTATCAATTGCATCAAAAACCTTGAAAATGGGCATAATTTCTAACCTAGTAATTCCTCTATTTGTACTTTAAGGAAATAATTGTGGCAAATTCTGACACTTGATCCTAAAAACCCATTTCCCCTTTCTTCCATGGTAATAGAAATTTTAGCTGAGGACATGACTGCTCTGAGAACAAAGACTGCATTTCCTGGGCTCCATTGCAGCTAAATGTGGCCTCAAGACTATATTCTAACAAAGAGATGTCGTGGATGTGCCACAGGGCAAGCTCTGGGAATCTTTCTTAAAGAGACAATTAGCCCTGTGGCTCTTCTTCATCCCATCCTCCATCCAGCTTCCAGGAGAGTGGATGCTAACTTGGACCGTGAAGAATGGGGCCACATCCTGGCTGGGCCAGAAGCCTGGGGAAAACTGAGCCTCTAAAGACACTGAAGAGCAGAACTACCTCCCCAACCTCAGTCTGCAAATCTCCAAGCTTTTACTTGAAGAAAAAATGAAGTATCTTGATTAAAGCACTGTTATTTGGTGCTTTCTGGATGTTATTGTCTTAACCTATCCTAATATAGCAACTGTGTAAAATATAGGTGGCTGTTATTTCTTTAGGTTTCTGCAATATTTCTCTATAATGAATATGTGTTGCTTTTAGCTCTTGAAGATGTAAACATTAAAAGAATATCATTAAACAGATGAGATAAAGAAAGATGGTATTTGTTTATTATAACAGAAGAGAAACTGCTACCTCTACTGTCAATGATGTATCATCCTTTTTACTATCCATCCCAATAAAAGCCATTTTAGGTAATATGGAAACCTTATTATCTGTCCGGGCACAGTGGCTCACCACTGCAATTCCAGCACTTTGGGAGGTCAAGGCAGGAGGATCTCTTGAGCCCAGGAGTTTGAGGGTGCCGTGAGCTATGATGACACCACTGCATTCTAGCCCAGGCAACAGAGGGAGACTCTCTAAAAAAACAAAACAAAACAAAACAAAACCCTTATTATGCATTCACATTATTCATAGCTTCTATCACATTGTCTTTATATTCTGTATCCATGTGCCTTTGTCCATCATAGCATTATTGTGAGCTCCTGGAAAGCAGGAGACAGGTCCAGGTGAATGTTTTCAATAAATATGTATTGAGTCCTAGGCACAGTGCTAGATATAGAAGATACAGAGTTAAATATCACAGTCATTGGCCTTAGGGAACTCAAGTGTGGAGGGGGAGAAGTGGGATTTCAACAAAGTGTGGTAATTGCTTTGATATCTAGAAAATTTTAATAGAAATATAGAGAAAGCCACCTAACACAGACTTCCCAGAAGAGGCAATAATAATCTTTACCATAATTAACACCATACTAGGGCAATTACCAATATATCCAGTGTTGTGCTGCCACAGGCTCATGATAACTGATTGTTAAATTTTCAGGAATTCTTCAAGTTTATTACCCAGCCATTATTCAAAATTAAATTGAGTTGCATTTAAATAAGTTATTTTAAAAATAAAGCTAGAAAATACTCAAAACTCGTCACTTCCTAATTATTATGTTTATTATCTATTTATACTCTTGTGTTTATATCTATTATATCCATATGATGCAAATAGCCTATAAGGGTGTGCTACTGTGTATCTCTTTTTGTAACTCCCTGTTCAGTAATGTCATGTTAGTAACTTGAAATTGGCCAGGTAGGAGGATTTACACTATATCGATAATAAATGCTACCTATCATGTTTATTTCTTTTCCCAGAGAGTTGGTTGTCAGACATTTACCAACATACCACTAAATGTATCTAGTCAATATTTGATCAATTGTTTTGATTAGGAGGAAGAAAACTCTGGGTAAATTTGTGAATGAGTAATTTGTATACTGATCTGCTTTTGGTACCTTTTCCTGTCCCAACCAGCTTTAGTTCTGCTTCTCTCTCTATTTCTCGGATACCCACTACCGTTATTACCTTTCCATTCTCTTTGCTGCAATTAGGAAGAAAGTAGATATGCACACATTGATCTGCCCACTATCAAACAGTGAGCACTTTCTCCAGCTCATCTTCCCAGCAGCAAAATCATGAATTATTAATAGTAAGCACTGAATAGAAACTATCCCGGGCGGGACCCGACAGGGAGCTGTCCCGGTGCTGAACCCGACCCGCGCCTCCTCCGCAGCCGAGGCCTTACCTTTTGAGAGCTGAAGGAATGCGTCCAGTGGTACAGAATGAGCTTAACCTCCGCCTCGGGCTTGCCCTCCGCCATCAAGGGCGCGCCCCCTCTCTGCTCGTCCTGCCTCCGAGCCATTTCGGGGTGCGTGAGTAAAGGAAGGGCTTTCTCCCACACACACACACTGCCCCGCAAAGCGTCTTCAGGTTTTCCACGAAGCCTCCCGGGCCGGGAAGACGCGCAGGCCGCCGGGAAGTGTAGTTCCGGCGGCGAGAAAGCTGCTCGGCCGGGTGCGCAAAGACGCGCGAGTCTGCGCGCCGGAAGCCCCGGAGCGCGGGGGTCACGTGGGAGATGCAATTGCACTTTGTTTTAGGGGGAATCTAAAATGGAGTCCCTGGTTATTAAAGCGAGAAGGAAAAATGGCAACAGCAAATTTCTCATCGGTTTGGAAGTTACGAAGGATAAAAGCACCCAATTCCAAGATACTTAGGTTTCCTCTTGGAGCGCCTGTTCCTTTGGTGGAAGGGAAGTTCCGGTCAATAAAGCAACAGGAAAAGGATCTATGAGTTCATTAGAAGATGCTTCTATGGAGTCATGCAAAAAAAAAAAAAAACCACTCATAAACTAATAAACAATGGCTCTATAAAATAGCCTAGTTATTAAACACAAAAATTTTAGGTTAGTACTACCTGGGTTCATGCCCTGGGTTTTCTATTTTCTCCATTTTTGGAGTGGAAATAACAATTTTATTTCCCTCATAAAGTTTATGTGCAACTTGAATAGTAAAAAATAATTAAACACTCAAAAACAGCCAGCATGATGTAGGCACTCAATATTATTCCCAGGTTCAGTTGCCTTATAAACATTCTCTTTATAGCCATCCTCAGAATCATAATCTTATATGAGTCGTTATTATTGTACATTCTTAAAATTTGGCATCATATAAATTGACAAAAATTTCTCTTTCGATAAATACATATAAATATGACCATGAAATAAGTGCCTATATAATTTATTCAACAAATATTTATGG